TCTGCTCTGCTGGTTCCTCCCAGTACAGGGCTGCCCTCCGTGCTGCGGGGCCGGGTTGGTGCACTGCCGGCTGCGCTGCGACGTGCCTGCCTGGCAGGGAGACCAGCTTGACCAGCAGCTCCAGTGCCCGTCTATTTTATCACCTGTAAACACATTAAAATAAAATGAAGTGCTACCTACAGCGGCACATCTTAGGTGAGAGCAGGGGAAGAAGATGGAGCAGAATGCCACCAGCTGTTTGGGATTTCAGCTCTGGCTGTAACCTTTCTGGTTATGGACTCTCTGAGACTCACTGCTTCATCCCAACCATGCCCAGCACACAGGTGGCTGTTGAGATCAGGGCACTTTGAAGCCAGAAGAGATGAATCAGCATCACCTTTAGACACCAATAGCTGTTTTTGTTTCTTCTCTGCTCCTTTGAAAACCTGTGCCTTGGTTTTCCTTTCCCAAAGGGCAGCTGATAGCTCTCTCTGCACTAACTTTCTCACCTTTGTCCAAAGCAGAGGGACAAAAGTCTCCTAACATTGTGAAGGTGGTGTAAAAGTCTGCCCATCCTTTTGGAGTTGGGTCATTTCAAGGCTTTTTCATTACAGTACAGACTGAGTTGTCAGGAGCGGTCGATACTATGGATTATGGCGGCACTCCTGAATGATGGGAATGCTTGATGGCTGTCATTTACTGTCGTTCTTTATTTACTCATCTGGCCTTCATGCCTGGCTTGGGCACTTTATTAATCCAGACAGCACAAATGGATGTGTGTGCTCTTACTTAGTGCTGAGTGGAAAGCTGGGCTTTCCATCTGCTGAAACATTGTGCTTTAAAAAGACTGAGTTTGGTCTTAAATGAGTTTTAGAACTAAAAATTTGAAACTAAAAATTGCCCATGAATTAGAAGTGTGTCTATCCCCACTATTGCTAAAATCAGGGAGCACAGGGCTGACCAGTTCAGGGCACTGCTTTGGTGGAGGGTCCTGAGATTTGGAGGCAACTCAAAGAACCTGAGCTTTATAAAGAAACCCATTTTACAGCCAAGGAAGCAAAGCTTTTGAATTCAGCTTCATAAACCATCTACCAAACTCCTTATCACAGACTTGATTTTCCAGTGGTAAGACCACAGTGATGAGCACATGGTTGAAGGCCTGGAGCTCTGCCTGGTGGAACTGCTCTGAAGATGGATTTTTCTGCCAGCTTCATGTGCTGAGATTTAGATTTTTTTATCATCATGAATCAGGACAAAAATACCCAGAAAGAACTGCATGTCCCAAGCTTGGCTTTTTTTGCCACCTGTTTAATTTTTTTAGGATAGTATATAAAGTGATAAAGAAAACAAATAAAAGCCTGTCACTTTGGCAAACCACTTCTTTTTCTTTTTTTTTTTCCCAAAACAGATACTTCTCTCTCACTAAAATGCTTCCCAGGGAGAGGGTGGGCAGTGTGGCAATTTTTTAGCAAAACTGCGTTTTTGGTGGCACACTGAGCACCACTTCCCAGTTGCTTTGCCTGACCCTATCCACATGCCTTCCCTCCCTGCCTGTCAAGCTTTGTGCTCTCACCCTTGTAGCTGGCATCCTTAGCTGGGTGCTGCAAGTGCTTTGGAGGATCACCAGCCCAACAATGTGACATGGCAGTCAGTCAGGACCAGGTGATGGTCTTGTTTAAAGTAAAAGCTGTGTCTGTAGAGCATTGCAGGCAGAGCCCACTGCTTGGTGGGCAATAGGTGCAGCTGGGCTTTGCCAGGGTGATGCCTTCACACCCCAGCTCAGCCGTTTGCAATAACTCAGTAAATCTACAGGTATTAAACTCACTCACATTTCCACTATTTATTTATAATAATCATGGAATCATAAAGTCTTGGATTGGAAGGGACTTTAAAGCTCATCTTGTTCCACCCCCCTGCCATGGACAGGGACACCTTCAACTAGACAAGGCCACTCCAAGCCCTTTCCAACCTGTCCTTGAACACTTCCAGGGATGGAACAGCCACAGCTTCTCTGGGCAACCTGTACCAGTGCCTCAGCACCCTCAGAGTCAAGAATTTCTTCCTTATATCTAATTTAAACCTGCCCTCTGTCTGTTTTCAGCCATTCCCCCTTGTTCCTGCTAATTCTAGTCTCTTGCAGGACTGCTTAGGATAGCAGAGCAACAAAAGCAATGCAGAAACAAAGGCTGGATTGATGCATGGATGCAAACAGCTGTTGCTTAACCACATGGAGGAGAAAGCCCAGTCCCTTTGCTGCCTTCCCCTCTCCCTGCTGTGCATGCACACTGGGGTCTTACCTTGGCGCGAACTCTGATTGCAGGAAGGACCTTGGTAACCTGGGCGACACTGGCACTGACATGTGTCTCCCACCAAAACGGGTTCACCATTGTTGTGGCAGGATCCGCAGCGACAGGGGTTGAACTCCAACAAGTATTCGTCCAGAGCCCGTTTCAGGTTTTGCCGTTTGTTTTCCATGTCACCATGGTTGGTTCTGCGGAGAATTTCGTGGATGGGCTGCAGCTGCATAGGATGAAGATGGATGGCATGGAAACAATTTCAGCTGGGCATCAACTGAGATGCTGTGACATTGCTGGATAAACTCAGGACTCAGGAAAAACTCATTTGTCTTCCACGACAGTTGCATGTACATCATGCAAATGTGTTGCTGCGACTGATGGGCCCCAGTGAGAAACCACCGTTCCAAAACCTTCCTCATCTTAGAGGTTTGTGCGGGATTGGCTTTTCTGGACATGCTTTGGAGTTTTAGTATGGATTCAAATGATAAATTAAAACACACCAGTAAGCCCATTTTTTGACTGATTTCTTAGTGCTGTCACAGTCTCAGAGATTCTTGTATGCTTTCTGCCTTTCTGAAGAAAATGTTTTGGTAAGAGCTTTGGACAGAGGGTATCATCAAAATTTATTGCCAACCTACCACTTGCAGTGGCTAGATTGTGAAATATCCAGTAAATTCTGAGAATGAAGAATTTTGCCTACTTATTTTTTGCCCTTTGATGTAGTGAAATAATACTGTCATCTACAGCTTTAAGAATATAACATGCTTATCATATTTCCAGTAGTAAAATCCAGTTCCTATATACCAGTCAGCAAAAACAACCCAGTTTGGGCAACTGTAATTTTAACTTACCCAACTGAATACCAATATTCTACTGAATATTAAAGCTCAGGGCTATCTGAGAACACAAGCTTGCATTTGTCCATCCATGCTTCTGTGCAAATGCTGCATGTCTATGCTGGGAATTGGTGGAAACCATTCCTGGAGAAGAGCTGGACATCATCTTATTGCACAAGGCACAGTGAGAGCGATTCGTGGGGAGGATCAGCATCAGCTGAGCTTTGGGAAGAGCTCTTGGGCAAATTTGCACAAGCATGTTTAACAAACTGAGGGAGCTGCAGATAAGACCTGCTGGAGTGGACATGAGTGCTTATCGCCACTCCGGTTGCAGAGTGACTGCTCAGCTCTGGAACAGCCAACAGAGAGGTCAGTGCATGGTTTACTGGAAAATTGCAATAAATTTTGCCCAGAATTGACGGGAACTTGTGCAGAAAGGTGAATAACCTGCAGCTGGAACTGAAAGAGCTTATACATTATCAGAGCTTTCTGCCACCAGGGTGCTGCCCAGGAAGATTTGCACAGTCCTTCTTGCCCTGTCAATAACACAGATAACTTCCAAATCCATTTTCCTCTCTCCCACTCGCTGTCAGACTTTTCAAATATGCTCTCAAATAAAGACAATAGGGATAGAAGTGGCAGTGTGTGCCTGCCATGGCTGAGGTCCTTCCCCCACACTCCACACCTGCACTCCCAGAGCAGACCAGTGATAGCATCTTGTGGTCGCGCAGGGTACATGGGCCAAGGAGTTGTGCCCAGCCCCTCATGCCTCTGCCAAGTCTCTCCCTGGATTATTTGCTTGTAGGGTTGCTGTTGTCTCTCCCTTTCCCTTCCCTCTGCTTGCACCCATATACTTCCCATCTCAGAAACCCTGTAGGATGCTTCAGTGATCTTTCCATTTTATGGGGCATCCAGTAAAACAAAAGAGAGAGTAAAGCTTAGCTGATTATTATGGCTATGGACCCTCTTTTTGGGGCATGGAGAAAGACAGGACCCACCTGACAAAGCAGCCAGGAGTCCCCTGCTCTGAGAACTCCTAGAAGTGCTCAGAACTGTACCCACCATGGTCTGCAGAGGTTAGGCATAGCCACTGCAACTCTGAGGCAGGGGAAAAGCTCGTGAGGACCTGTTTATTCAGAGCCTTTGCTGGAGGGGCAAGACTCCTTCCCCAGCTCCCTGCCAGTCCAGTGCTTAAACAGGAGGGCGGACAGCACTGGGGAGAAAAATAGGGATGAATGCAACCACAATTCATTGTGAAGCTGTTTGGGAACACATCAAAAACTTAACTCGGCACTAATCCAGCATTAAGCTCCTTGTCCGTCTCCCTGCGGATGCAGTCGGTGGGAGATGTACTCCCCATTGTGAAATGAAGAAGAGGTTACCAGATCAGTGGCCCATTACATTTAATCTTGTTCTGTGATGGGATCACAATAAAAATACGAAATGATCTGCTCGACTACACTTTCATTCCTTATAGTGGCAGAATTTCTTCAACTGCAGAAAAGCCTTACCTCAAAATCAATAACAGAAGGATTATATTTTAATGACCTTCCCCAGCGACGATACATAGTACCATCCCAACTGTTTAAGAGCCCTCCGCTGTAACTGGTATCTCCACCTCTAATCCGGGGAATAATATCTTCCACAACTGCACTGTTGCTCTTAGAATCTGAAAAGTTGAATTACATATTATTTACTTATTGTTTACACACACACACACACACACACACACAAAACTGCTTAATGGAGGTGAGATCAGCTGTGTAGGGAGCTATCAGTGAGCTGAATTCTGGAATAGTTGGAAGCTAAGTGTTCCCTGCTTGTGGGGTGAGCCCTGCAACCTTATCACAAGGTGGTCACTGACAAATTGAGCATCCCAAATCCTCTAAGCTGATAAAACCTAAAGACCTTGCATGCCTCCAGCCTTTGTTTCTAGTTAGGACATGGGCAGTAGGTCATACTGTCTATGGGTTGTTAAGTGATGTACAAATCTGGGGTTTCCTACTCTCTTTGAGTAATTTTTGTAGTCAACGTTGACTTTTTTTACTAGTTGCCATGTTGCCTTTGCCATCCATGCCCAGTCTGTCATTGCTATAGGGATTGCAACCTTTCAGATACCTCACTGTCTCTATTCACATGCCTCTCTAACCCAGGTATTGCTACCTTAATTTTGGCTTTCAAGGGCAATCAGTACTCCTGAAGACTTGGACCCAAATTAACTTTGGTCCCACTATGTCTGGGGGGTGGCACCAGAGCTCCCTTCTTCATACCTTGTGTGACCCTACATGAATCTCCATGCCCAAGTGATGAAAAGAAGTGATGCAAGATGCCTTAACAGACATCTGCCCTGGTATCATACCAGTTCTCATAAATCCTTCCGGTCTGCAGCGAGAAAATTGCACAGATGGTTCCACATTCAGTAACCCCTTGCTGATTGAAAGACCAAGTGACCCACCAATACAGCTAGAGACGTCCTCTTTTGTTACGTCTGCAAAACAAACAGAAAACTGGTAAATTCAGTGATTCATACTGAGTGGAAGTATGTTAATTTTCCTACTTGTTTTATTTTTTCTGTCATTGAAGAAAATACTCAGTTATTTGCATGGTCTGTATTTCAAAATCAAGTGCTATTCTGGGCAGAGGACAGTGGAAAGGTCAATATTTTATTGGGATATACTGAGCCTATCTTATATAGGTGAATAAGGAAATGTATAAAAAGGAAGTAAAAACCTTAACAGAAGGCTTCGGATGTATTTCCTTTTTTGTTCTATATATTTTAAACAATTTATCTTTTACAGACTAACTCTTAACTGGGGTAAAACTGGGAACAAGAGCTGAAATCAATAGATCCTTGCTAATTTTCCTCAATTCAGGATCTGACCCACATATTAGTGACTTAAGTGTCATCTTAAGTAGTAACTTGCAAAAGGTCTTGTCTGCTGAGAGCTGCCAGAGCCTTCCTGCCTGCTGTTGGGCTGCTGCTGCCAGCACCGCCACATACATCATGAAAATATGTAACTGGAGACCCATGAAGCAACTGCAGAGGGGAGAAGGGAACTAATGAGGTGGTTTCACCAAGGTAAGCAATGCACATATTTCATACAGCCTGGGTTTATGTACATGCTTCAGTGTACTGCAAATATAAGGCGTCTTCTTTAGTAGTTAAAAATCCATTGATTTCAATAAAAATGGGCATTGTAAGTACTAGGTAACTTTTATATTGCTTGTTTTGTCAGAGGACCTTAAAGTGTTTTACAAAGGAGCTCAGTGATCAATAGCATGGTATTGAAAGGGAGGCACAGAGGTCAGTGGGGTTTGTGCATTGTAGCTTCATGATCTGAAGACTGAACCTCTGTCTGGGTCCCAACCTGGAATGTTTTCCGCTGAACTGCCTCACCCCAGCGCTGGAGAGCAGTATCTTCTCTTGCTCCTGTTTAAAATACTGGTTAAACGCCCATAGCTCTGGCTTCATAGAATCATCACATAATTGGGGTTGGAAGGGACCTTTGAAGGCTATTTACTCCAACCCTTCTGCCATAGTCAGGGACATCTTCAACTAGCCCAGGCTGCTCAGAGCCCCATCCAACCTGACCTTGTATGTTTCCAGGGATGGGGCAGCCACCACCTCTTTGGGCAACCTGTGCCTGTGCCTTACCATCCTCACTATAAAAACTTACTTCTTTAATATAAATTGTCCCTCTTTTAGTTTAAAACCATCACCCCTTGTCCTCTCACAAGATGCCCTGTTAAAAAGTTTGTCCCATCTTTCTTATAAACCCCCTTTAAATATTGTAAGGCTGCAATAAAGTCTCCGTAGAGCCTTCTCTTCTCCAGTCTGAATGACCCCAACTCCCTCAGCATTTCCTCATAGGAGAGGTGTTCCATCCCTCTAATCATCTTTGTGGCCTCCTCTGGACTCACCTCAACAGGTCCATGTCTTTCCTCTGCTGGGGACCCGAGATCTGGATGCAGCACTCCAGATGGGGTCTCACCAGAGCGGAGAGGCAGAATCACTTCCCTTGACCCACTGGCCACGCTGCTGGGGATAAGCCCAGGACACAGCTGGCTTTCTGGGCTGCAAGTGTGCAATGCTGCCTCATGTCCAGCCTCTCATCCACTCCCAAGTCATCTTTGACAGGGCTGCTCTCAATTCCTTCATCCCCATCCCATAATGATACCAGGGAGTTTTCCTGAGCCAGGTGCAGGATCCTGCACTTGGCCTTGTTGAACCTCATGATGTTCTCATGGGTCCACTTCCTGAGCTTGTCAAGATCTCTCTTGATGGCATCCCCTCCTTCAGGTGTGTCAACCATACCACTGAGGTTGGTGTCACTTGGAAACTTGCACCTTTCCGCATACACTACAGGAGAGACTCACTGGAGCCACATGGGGCACTGGTCTGCTCCTTGGCTTGGTGAGTCCCAGCCAGCAGAGATGCTCAGCATCCTGAGAGAGGGGCTACAAGTCCTGGGTTCAAACTGGTGAGAGCTGAAGCATGCTCAAGACTCCAGTGGGAATTGCATCCCATTGCAAAACTAGGCTCTTGGGAAAGATAAAATGTGTAGCTCTTGATTACTTGTACTAAACTGTTCAACAGTTGTAAACACAGTGGGTAAAGTTCATTCACCCAAAGCAACATGAGTGATTGCTTATCTTGGTGTTGGAGTGCCATAAAATTAAACTTGAGGAACACCCTGATTAATTGATTTGCTATGGTTCCTGTTGAGTAATTATGTTCAGCGAGGGTCTGTCAATACAATTTGCTATTGGTTGCAGCAAGATCAAGTCTTGATAAATGAAAAGTGGTTATCATTGCAAAAGGGTGGTCATAGTAAATATTGGCACTTGAGGGGGGAGCTCTGATAGGGGTTTTTTTTCCTCATATGATATAATTTGTGATAGTTAAATGTTCTCAAGTGATAAGATTTACTGCTGCATTTTCAATTAATCAGAATATATGAAGACTCTTTCTAATTTACTCTGTGCATAATGTTTCTCCCATAAATGTTCCTGTAATGTGTGAACACATTATACTATTTTCTGCTAAATAATAGAACCATAACCATCTATTTTAAAAACAAGTAATGAAAAATATTGATGGCAGAGCAACAAGGGACCTCATTCTGACATATGTATTTATTTCACTCATGACCACATCCATACAAGCCCTTGCAGCCTGAAAGCTAGAAATGAGTCTGGCAGCAAAACTGCAGTCCTAAGCTCTTCAGCAAGTTGTGGCCTATTCCTGGTTATCTAAACTGAGACGGTGATTTCATTTTCAAAAGTCAGGTCCTAAATGCTTAAAGTCCAGCTCATGCCTATGCCAAACTCAGTGATGACCTAAGCTATCTCTCATTTAGGGAGGACTCAGCCAAAGGATCTTTAGTCACTGGTCTGTAAAAAAATTGAGTATTCTCTCTTCGAGAGCATTTAACATGTAGCCTCATGGGCTAGGTGGGCTCTCAGGATACAGTGGTTGATCTAAACCAGGTACCATGTTGCTCAGCCCTGTGGGGACTCAGTGATACATCTCCAAGCATCTTCAGAGCTTCAGACTTGTCTTATGAAGCTCTAATTTTAAGACTTGAGCACTTACATCCTGATCCTGACCATTCCTCGGGGAAGGAGGATAATCCTCTTGCAAACACAGCCTTCAAGCATGGCTGTGATCAACATGAGAAAAATCATGGGGTTTTTTACTAAATGCTTTTAGACAGTGGCATATCAGACACTTGCAGGTGGGTCCTTCTGGGTCAGCATCATGTGACATAGAGCACTGCTGACTTGGTAAATGTGGGCTTTCTAGCAGAGCCTGGATTAGATGAAAATTACAGAAGCATGCTGCATTAGAATGAAAATTACATCTCTACTGGGGCACATTTTTGTCTTTTGCTGAACTCCAACATCCTTCTTGCCTGAGATAAGGCATCTCACAGCAGTAAATCTCCTCCTTATATACACAGCAAGAACAAGATAAAGCAAAATAATAGCCTCCCTCCACATGCTCTTGATTCATTCTTCCTCTGAAATTGGCAGTCTGCTTTGTGAAGACTTGCTTGCCAAGACCTTGTTCACTTCTATATCACTCACTCTTCAAAGTGAATAAGTGATTTGAAGAGGCATCATGTTTCCAAGCATTAGAGGTTCAGGAACTTGATGAAAATTCTCTCACTTGGTAATTTCTTGAGAAAAAATTGGCATGGTTAGCACTCAGTATGGAGTGCATAGTTATCCTAGTGCTGATGGTACCAAACCATTTCAGACCAGAGGCAGAATTTGTGGCAGAACCCTGGAACTTATTGGAATTACAGCAATTTGCACCTACTGCTGCAATTTGCACCTATCATCCAAGATTGCAATTTACTTCTGCATGAATGTCCAGCCTGGAGTTACTAAGGCAGTGGTGCCCTCAGCAGAGTGGATCAATGGTCCTTAGGGCAAGTGGGATCTATTGCATTGTTGCCACCTTTGCAAAAGTTGACAATCCAGTGGGTGTACTAAAGTACCATATTATTGTTCTGTATCTTACATTTTTGATTAGGATAAATATTATGCTTTGGCTTACTAGTAATGGCTATTCTTGCACTCTAGATACCTGCAGTGGGTGTTTTATCTAACAGAGATTTAGAGGTATGGTTCTCCTGCCTCATACACTCTAATTTGCTGAGAACTGGAGCTAACAGAGGTCTGTTAGTCTTCAGATGTGACACTAACCAGAGTAAAGTGTCAGTTTTTGATTAGGATAAATATTATGCTTTGGCTTACTAGTAATGGCTATTCTTGCACTCTAGATACCTGCAGTGGGTGTTTTATCTAACAGAGATTTAGAGGTATGGTTCTCCTGCCTCATACACTCTAATTTGCTGAGAACTGGAGCTAACAGAGGTCTGTTAGTCTTCAGATGTGACACTAACCAGAGTAAAGTGTCAGAGGCCAAGTGCAGTTCCATTTACAGAAAATTGCAGCCCTCACCATTAATAGGCTAAAAGATTAGTGGGTTGGCTTGCTTTACTCTAGATGAGTTTGCAAGCCTTGAGCATTCATGAGAATGGCCAGAACAAAGACTATTAGAAATAGGAAATTACCAAGTGACACTGAAAAAATGGAGATTCTCAGGTTCCTTCCTAAACTACTAAAACCTTACTTAGATATTTCTGAACACGTTTTGTGACACTCAAGCTAAACTCCTGCTATGTTGCCAGTAGTGCATCCATCTTGTGAACAACATGTGGATACCCCTACGTCACTTGCCCCATGCATTTTTTAGGCTTGTGGTGAGTATATGACTATCATGTGCTGGGACATACTCAGCAAAGAGGTGCTGATGAGCATCTACCCTTCCAGAGCCCAGGGAGAAGACAGCTGTGGAGCCCCACCCCATGGTCACCAGGTGGAAATGCCTGGTTTAGAGCAAAAAGCTGTGAACAGAGAATATCTTCTTGTTTTCTAACCTTTTCTTCGCATTTCATCCTTATTGATGACAAGGATGAACTCAAAGATGCCTCCCATAGTGCCAGATGTCATGAAATGGGTGCCATAGTCGTCGATGAATTTGGAATACATGCCATAGTTGTAGGTGTCTGGAAGGTCCTGCAGGGAGAGCAACATATCTTCATCCAAAACAATGTTGTCCTTTCTCATCTTGAAACGGGCTGTCTGCACCTTTGTCACAGCTCTAATAAAGCCAAGATTCTGCAGGTAAAGAAAAGAGGAGCTGCAGTCAACATTTATTTTAAAACATAATTTCTAGCCTTTAGGTTTGCAGAGGAAAGCCTGAATGTCAGTATATGTTGAAGGCATGAAAATAAGCCCAAGGTTAAGTGAAATAAGCGGTAGTTCTTGTTTTAGAGTCTCTTTTTTTGTGTGCTGTGGAGGTGGAAGGCAAAGCTCTGGGGTTGGATGATATGGGGGTTTTTTATTGATGTGTGAATACGATCAGTCAGACTTCACATGATTCTTCTCCATTCTCTGTTTCTGCTTTTTTTTTTTTCTGGTTTCCTTTCCGTGCGCTTTTTAGTCCCTTTTACCTTTTTCACAGCCTCAACCACTGATGCAGGGCAAGGGCTCAAGGCAAGCCCAGCCCAGCCTGGCAGTGAGACAATAACCTGCCAGAAAGATGGTGATGGGAGAAGAATTTCGTGGATATACCACCAGATCCATGACTCTGCCTCTATATTAACCACTGCCTTGAATAAGTCTCCATTGTAACCAGAACAGCCCTTTAAATGATTCCTCCAATAACCGATCATCATTTAGCTGCAAACATCATGTGAGTCTGGACAAGGGCACAGTAAATACTATAATAGTGCCCATTTCAAACAGCTTTTAAGGGCATTTTAACTCAGAACGCCATCAAAGTAATTCTTCTTTATTGTTTTCTGTCAGCAGCCATGAGAGAATTGGAGATGGGGCACAGTAAATGTGGGAAATACCAGCACTCATGTTATTAGATTGGAAAGAGCTCATCACAGCTAGTCCATGATGTGAACCTGCTGTGAGAAGTACACCCTATTACCAGGTACTATTTTTTCAGCGTGGTATTTTAACCTCCCATAAAAAGTAGCATATTTCCCCACCATAAGGCAGCTTGTATTAATTTGAACAAGACGTATTTGCTACCAGAGATCATTCCCTGAGGACTATTGTTTCAATGAGCATCTTGGTATTTCCTCCTCCCTCATCGTCACTTTTAAGCATTTTCTCTATTTTTGTGGTTCATGTAGTCATGGAACAGGATAGGGTGAGATGACATGTGTTGTGGCACTTCATAATTCAATTTTATTCCCCATTCCCTGTTTGCGAAAACATATGAAGAACAACAAACAGGATTACTAACGATCATACATTTGCAATTACATGAACAAATTAAGGTACAATTACTCTGTGTTAAAAAATGCAATTGAGAGAATAAACTGACATAAGTTACAGTCAGACTATGCCATGCACAGATGATACAACTGGAGCATATGCATCACTGATTTGGTTGGGGGTTTTTTACCTTTGCAGTATAGTCTGTGAAATTCTTCACGGTTTCTTTGCCATGTGATAAAGTCAAGCCCAGGTTGACCTGTACGCCTGCACGCGCAGGCCCAATTCCAAAGGTAAAGCCAAATGAGTCAGATGTTTCAGTTTTAAGGGCACGAAGCAGATCCTTTGAATCATCATAAAACTCAAAAGCAAATCCAGAATCAGCACGAGCCTAAAATGAATAGAGCAGATGGTAATTTTTCAGGTAGCTCCCTTCCTTTTTAACCTTTATTTCTTTAAGGAGCTGATAGTGCCTCTGTTGAAGCCTGTGATGCTCTTGACAGCACTGGCATTGACTTCAGTGAATGTGAAATAAGGAATTAAATCACATGCCATTTCATTTGGAAATATGTGAGAAACGTGGATAAAGACAAGCATTTGCTTCATCCATCTCCAAGCAGGCGAGAGGTTTGTGTTTAGCCACTCAAAGCCAGAGCTGGTAATGGTACCTATTAAGATAGCTTGACACTTTCCATTATAAAACCCTCCTTTGAGTTCCTTACAGCTCTGCCAAATCCTAACAATTTGGACTGAATATTTTCTCTTCAGTCTGCTTCTGGATGAATTCATTTAGAAAAAAAATCCACAGCCATTTACGATGGCAAGTCTAGAAAACAAGTATTGTTTTACCTGTGTTTTAGAGAAGTGACCTTTTCATTGACAGCTCTACTTTGCTGGCATGTGGAATTGAGCAGCCTTGCTCCATCTGGGTTGTGCCATTTGCTAGCTCTGTAAAAAGCCAGGCCCAGTGTTCAAACTGGGGACTAAGTGGCTCAGGGGACTCTGTCTGCTGGGAGGACATGAAAGCTACTTGCGTTCAGCATGTGGCTGTACTATTTCCCAGCAATAATATGTTTTCATTTGTTCATGTCACAAAACATGATGAGTGTTTAACAGGGTGGCCAAGGCACCCACTTAGAATGTGGGAGAGCCAGGTAGAATCCTTGTTCTGCTTTTATCAATCTCCAACATCAGTTGTGACCTTATGGATTATAGGTATTGTGATACATGGTGATAGCTCTCAGGATCCCGGTCTTACTCAGAATTTGGATTTATGTTGCTTGTACCCATGCCATGGACTTAAAATGCTTTGAAAGATTGAACCAGTAGCATTATTACTGTTTTACACATGGCCAACTTCATCCCTAGAGAGGCAAGTGGCTTGTGCAAGCTCTGCAGCTCATTAATAGAAGAATTTAGAGAAAAGCCATTTCTCTTGGCTCTGACTAGGCCAGAGTAAGCAGTGGCAATGCCTGGATGATAAAGCACGTTAGTTCCTTGATGTGCCGTAAAACAGCATTTATATCATCAACTGCCTGTTGTCTTGGGGACAGCTGGAGAAAGGTACCTTGGAAGACAACCTATGGTGAATGACAAAATATACCTAATATCTTTGTAGGAATTTTGGCTTTTTGCTTGGAAATCTTTGCTAAATTTGACCACCCAAAGTACTTACTAGGAATTGGTATAGGTGAAAGTTGTAAGGTTTGCGGAAATACTTCTCATCCTCTCCATAGTAGAGGCGCTCGCAGGCAACATCGTACTTCAGCTCCCGCCACTCTCCGTTGTAGACATACTCACAGTGGCCTCCTAAAAACATACGATCGTATACTTGCCGTGTCTCTTCCCGTGTCAGGATATTGTATCTTGGAAAGAAGTAGCATTCAGAAAGTTATCCATAGCCCACCAACAGTCTGTCACAGGTTCTCCTGACACTACAGTTCACGTATTCTCCTGAGTAATTTTAATAGAACTTAAAATTGGATTGAGTTTGCTATCTCCTTGCGATCTTCTTCCCAATGCTAACAGTTGACAAACAGCCATTTTATTTCTAAGACATTAGTTTGGACTTGTATGCTAGAAATGAAAGAAATCAGTTCAGTTCTACACCCCTCCCAGCAAGCACAGTTATGAAAGTCCCAAAGTCCTGGAATTCCTCCAGGTCCACCTTGAGTCTAATGCATCTCACTGTCACAAAAAAAAGTGCTTCCTGGCATTCCCCATTATTATTTTCTAACTTAGTTTCATCTCTTTCCTTTTAATAATGGTCCCATTTCTCAGGACAGTTAACACCCTCCCTAGATGCGCAGTCTGCTTGTGCTTTGTCAAGTCTCTCACTTATTTCTTTATTCATCCTTCTTCCTGTTCTCCAGCTGCTGCCCTCTGAAATCCCTCCTATTACTTAATATTCCTTGTAATTCCATGGCCCAAAATGTAAGCATTATTCAAATTAGACAGCAGCATTGCTCTTCACAACAGGGAATCGTCTTTAAGACTAAGAAAGTAAATGCTGTTACTTTTGTGTGTTCTACAGGAGAAACAGATCAGAAAGCAGAATTAAATGGGGCTCTCAGTGAAAATTAATGCATGTCATGAAGAACTTTTGATGAACTCTCCTAGGTCCTGGACCAGAGAGACATTTATCTCATGGACTCTAGAGAGTGTTGGAGAGAGCTGATGGGAAAGTTCTCCAATGGCTGACTCCATTCTCATGCTCTAGCCAATGTTCATAGAATCCCAGAGTTGTTTGTGTTGGAGGGAACCTTAAAGACCATCTTGTTCCAACCCCCCTGCCATGGGCAGGGACATGTTCTCCAGGTGAGAAGTGTCTTGGTTAAAACACAAAATTTAAAACAAGATTGTCACATACACAATTCACCTTTCAAGTTATTTTGGATTCCTCTTTTGCATGTATTACCTGATCAAAGTTTGAAAATGAACAGAAAACAGTTTTTCAAAGATAGGAGCATTTACCCTGCATATGTTCATGTGGAGCTCAGGCTCTCTGCCTTGAATCTGTGCTCTGAACTCCTAAATCCTGGAGTTAAATCTCCTTAAGGATGAACACCACCAGGATGCTCCATCTCCAAAATCTGCTGTTTGCTTTAATATATTACTTTTATCAGCTGGAGAGAGCTGTGAAGATAACTGGGATATATTTTTACAGTAGAAAGAGGGTATCACAAGTACAGTGTGCTGGGAGAGGCCAAGGTCAGATAGTAAATCCAAGACAGGATTTGAAATAAAAGCTGGGATGAACCCTCCTGCCTCCCTCATTGCTATTCATGGTTGCATGGGACAGTACCTCCCCTTTGGGCTTTGTGCAGCACCCTATCATTCATGGATCACTCCTATTACTAAGGAAGAGCAGTATGAAAAACTCAATCCTGTTTGGATTGGGAGAGTAGCAGCTGCTGATTAATTACTCACCCTTGGGTTATTTTTTCAGACCCGGGGATTGGGAATAGATCTTCACAAGGGCTTTCAATATATTCATCCTCACAGTTTTCCTCATCAGACCCATTTCTGCAGTCATTCTCTCCGTTGCACACGAGATGCCGTTTAATACAGCGACCTAAAGTGCACAGATGCAGGCAATGGTTTATCGGCCCTTCAGAAATCCCTGTTGGCAGCTTGCACTGGTTGGGCTCATTTTCACCCGTATCTCGGGGCCACAAGAAGTCATGCTGGGTGTCAAACACAGCGCCCTTCCATTGGGAACTTGCTTTTCCAAGCTTCTTGGGGAAAGGTTTTCTTTGCAATATAGAGTGTGCACAGCTTGGAGTCCAAGCTGACCTCTTCCATGCGATGGAAATCAAGACAAGGTTACCTCACTGGCCTGACTTTATTATCTAAAATCATGCTTTTGAAAAGTTACTGCAGGAATATCTTCTCCACTTGGCTTAAGGAAGTCAACTTCATCTTATTAAAGTGCAATTTTGCCTCTTCCCACTGCAAGAGGTATTTGGAGAGTTTATTGCAGTAATTAAAATTTCAAGAATGGATGTTTCCAGGAAGGCAACTTGGAAGGGGATTTGCTTCTGGGAGTGAGGAGAAAGCCTCGACATGACAGTCATGGCAGGAAGGATCTGGCACTGCTACACTCGCCCCGATGAAGCACTGATGACCTGCTTCAGCTGGTGAGCTGATCGCAGAGCTGGTGTGTAGTTCTAAACTTCAATAGAAATTTCATTAAATGCTCAAGATGGAAGTTTGAGCCATTTGTGTGGAGACAAAAATCTGTCAAGGCTAGTCAAACTTTCAGAGAACAGCCGTATTATATCCCAATCCTCAGAGCTGGGGATGGCTAAAAATAAATGAATCACCCCAACAGATTGCTAGTTGGATTGATGATTGAACTATGTCTTTAGCAGGGGAGAAAGCAGTGTGTTGTGGGAGCGTTGTGCCCAGGGAGGGGAGTGTGAGCATGTAGTACAGCCGTTGGAGAAGAATATTTCTACTTTCTTTGTTCCACTGAAAAATTAACATTTTTCCATGTTACACAGCCTTCTTTTCTCTTCAAGTCTGAGTGTAACATGGATGGATTTCTGTAAAATTGGGGGGGAAAACAAAGAGGGGAAATTTCCTGCTTTCTCTTGTTCACCATCCTGCTGCCTGGCTGGCAAAGCTCTGCCTATGGCAGGGGATTGATATCACCCCAGGCCTGCTCACCCATGACTGAAACCTCTACGGCAGGAGTTTGTGCCTGGTTCATTCACCTGATTCCTCACACTGGAAGTCCTTCCCACAGCTGGAGGGTCCAGTGCATGTCGTCTCAGCACGGCAAGCTTGCTCGTCCCAGAGGCTCCCCGTGCATCGCCGCCCCGTGAACCCTGCAGGCTGTGCCAGTCTCCGGTAGCGGTGCTACACAGCAAAAGAGTGACAACTAGTTGTGTCCCCCAGAGACATCACTTCCACAGGCTATAAAGCAACCAAAACTATGATTTTTATCTCTATTCCCATTTTTTTTGTGTGTGTGGCCCAAAGACTTTGTACATGATAAATGGAGAAGGAGAGTCAGCAGAGAGGTGGGAGCTCAGGAGATTTGCCTGAAGTTCATACATGTGAACTTAGAGGGGGCTGGAATGACTTTGAAAAATATCTCTTCTCTATTTTATACCTTGGAAATAATGTGGCATTTTTCCAGTTACACATGCTTTGTCCTGGAATGTACCAGGCTCAGATGGACATAGACACTAATTAGAACATGGATCCTGCAACATTTCTGATGGATTATTAATGAGAATTGCTGCTCTTTAAACTAGGAAGGGGAAAAAAAAAAGGAAAAGGAAGAAGAGCCAAACCATTTACTGATTATAAGCACATGAACAAAAATGCAGGGATAATGTAAATTCAGTACAAAGGAAAATTATGTCAGGTATTTGAAAATAAATTCTCAAATTATGAAGACATGTGAAAGGATTAAAAAAATTGAGAATAGGGGCTGATGAATGAAGGCTGCTTCTAATTTCTTTTCATTGGAATATTTGCATTAAGAATCAGGGGATACTTAATTAAATCTAAGATAGAAAAGGAAGAAAGTCATGGGCAAATATTCTGGCCTGATTCTTCCACCATTTGCCTTGATTTTGCTCTTTGCTGTTCTGCTGCCTCAAATGAATTTATTTCCCAGTTTACACCAGAGTAAGTAAGAGCCTCTCTAGTGGAGGAGTATCTCCATCATATTTGGATGAGTTTACTGGATGCTTCAGAATGATGAATATGTATAATATATATAATTAATGTGTGTACATCCTCATCACAGACACATCTGAAGATAAATGAATACATTACAGTGGATCCTTACTTTTTTCTCTTGGCAAGGAAAGCAATCAGTCCATTCTGACCACTGGCTCAGCTGACAGTTGGCAGCAGCCGGAGATTTAACATCTCTGCTGCTTCTTCTGAGGAAGGGAAGAAAGAGTGGTGTAAGGTCTTTGAAGCTGTGTTTTAAGGAGGACTGGAGGCTAGAAGAGAGAACATTACCTGTGTGTGTGTTTTTTCTACCTGGAACCTATATTGTAGGAAATGGGAATCTTCCCTCAGCAAGGGTGGCTGTACTGCCAGAGATGTCCTGTCCAAGTATTCAACATCAGAATTGGTCAGTGGGCACAGGTGGAGTGCCTGAGGGTTTTGTCTTGGGTTTCTTGCTCTCCCAAGAAATCCTAGTCCTTTCCCATAGGCTGATTGCAATAAAATATATGTACATCATATATATGAAACCAAACACACTGACTAAACAGGAGGAATGTCGAGAAGAGACAGATTTTACGGAAAGGCTTCTTTTTTTGGCTGCCTTCTCAGAAGCCCATCAGGATGTCCAGGAGTAGTGATCTTTATCATCTTGGACCTGTTCTGAAATATATTGATTTCACTTTTTTACACCACTGTGAACTCATGTTCAGTATTTTTCCCACCAAGTATGAAATCAGGGTCTGGTTCCCATGGGTTTTGTGGAGTGGTGGGAATGGCTGCATCAACAGTGCTGAGAAAACAAGGTACAAAGGATGTTGACTGAAAATTTGTTGGTTGACTATTTCTAAAACAAAAGACATCAATTCTGAAAAGAGAAAAATAACTAAAGGAATAGTATAAAAGCAGAAAATGGCAAGGACATTGTATTGTAGTGGCTCCTGGATCAGACTCTCTGCATATACACTGAACCTCACTGTACAACAGCAAAAGAATACTTCTCTTTCCTCCCAGCCCAGTCATTACAATCTCTACTTGTGTCCCTAATTCTACAACTTTTATTTGTATCATGAATTTCTTTGTCTTGAAATTCAATCTGTGGTATGCTAATACAACTCTGCATTGCCTTCGAAGCATTTTGAGGGTTTATTCTGAGTCAAAACATCATTATTATTATTATTATTTTGATGATTAACTAATGAGCAGTCTGTTTTACTTACATGACTGCAGTCCAAAGAGAAATATTGATAATTAGCAGAGGTACAGAGCACATTGGGGATTCATCAGAGGCTGTAGAAGAGAGACTTAGTAAATGAAAGCCAAAACAGCTCAGCAAGAGAGCCTGTGGATGCAGATCAGTGTGTGAGATAAAACCCCACCATGTCTCCAGGAAAACAACAGGAACCTGCAGACAAACAGGGAGCTGGAGGACATGCATGTATTGATGCCTTTTCGCTCTGACAGGAGGATTTGTGGGCTGTATCCTTCAGCACTTCGCAAAGTACTTAATTGGCTCACCTTCGATTGGATTTTGCATTTACCTCTTCATTATTCTGCCTTGTTTGATAAGTTCATCAAACATCAAAAATCTCGTCTTTGTTCATTTTCAAAAGGGATTATCAGAATAAGCCTTCATAATTAAGTGTATCACTACCACAGTTTTTTTCCTTTCCGCCTTCTCCTTGTCTCCATGTTCCAATTATCACTGATACCTTTTTTTGATCCTTCTAAATCATATTTGCCTTTACAACAAGGCTGAAATTAATAGCTGTAGAAAAAAAATCCAACCATTTTCATGACACTAGAAAAAAAGTAACTTGTTTATTTCTTTCTTTCAAAGCCCGAGTGACACTTGGATAGGTTAATAATATTGTTCACGGGGTAAAAAATTGAGGTATGAGGATCTGGCTTGGATTGAAAATTGGGTTATTCACATGCACTTGTTAACTTCACACTGTCAAATTTAAAATAATTATAATGAAAAAGAATATGAGAAATATTAACTCGTAAATCATCCTGTATAGAGAATTCATTTCAAGTGCCCAAACCCAGTATGGTGATCTGGGTAAGGAAGTTTAAGCAGGCTTAACAGTCATCTGTGAAAGGAAAACCATTGTGCAAACAGTTCCTTTAAGAAGGAATTATGATGCCTTGCTTGGGCTTTGGACAACTGCCAGTATTTTTTTTCCTGGTAGCTGTTTACAGAGAGCACGGTGTGCACATGCCTCAAGTCGAGGCAAAATTAATGGGCTGACTGACTTGCTGGTAATTTCTATAAGTAAAGCTGGGGAGGAGAAAGGACTTACCTCTGGGAAGGCAATGCCTCGAACTCCCTGCATGCTGTCACTGTGGTCTGGTGTGCTGCTAAAGCCAGTGAGAATATAGACAGGATCAAAGGAGAGAGCTGACACAGGCTCCACCACATTGTTTTTCCATATGTGTTTGCTATAGATTAGCTGCAAACAAAAGCCTGAAGTTTCAGGACTGCTGGAAGAAGGATGGAGCCCACCAACCTCCAAACACTGTGGTAAATCATTGACAGCAGCACAGATCGAATCACAAAGAATCAGGACATATCCCAGAGGCCTTTGCCCTTTTGGAAACAAATTCCCAGTTTTCTGGCAAGGAAATATATTAAACTGTGCAACTGTTTCCACATTAAAGTCAATCAAGTCCTGTTGCAGCAGTGTGTTTCTTATCCAGCCTGTGTCCTCCTTTTAATTTGAAGGAGGAGGAAACTCATTTTATTTCCCACAGTGACTTTACTGTAATTTTGGTGTGTCTGGTTTGCTGACCAGGGAAAAGCTTCCCAGTACAGCAAATTGAAGATTAGCACAAAATTGTGTTATAAAGAACATGTACCTTCCAGATACGTTAAGGAAATGTCAGTTCAGCTTTCTCCCATTGCCATCCCCAGAAAATTGTGTCCCATCCCCAAAGCTGATGTGAGTTATCACCTGGCTTTTGGATGGCCCTACACAGTCACTGCACCACAAGAATCTAATTCTTTCTTTTGTTTTCTAAAGTGATTTGCAGTGAGGAAGATGTCCCCTGCATCTGAAATTGTGTCTATACACTCTGCAAAGCCATCTGTTAGTGGTGATTCCAATGCTTTTAGCTGGGTGAAATCTTAGTGGATATGCACAAGTGTAAGAAACAATACCATAGAAAGCAAGAATACCACAGGTTTGGGGTTTTTTTAAAGAAAATACTCACAAGATGAGAATATTTAGTTCTGTTAAAAGAAAGAAAAAATGGCCATTGGAAAGACACTTGGCCATAGCCCAAGTTGCCCCATAGCTGTTTTCTTCAGCCTGCACATAGCTTCCAAAATTCCCCTAGGGGCCCCTGGGCAGGCACAAAAATGCACAAGGAATCTGTAACTTCATTAGGTATCAGTTAAAAAAAGAGTAAGAGATTTATGGAGACTTGTGTGTTCAAACAAGGGTCTGTATCTCCCCACTTCATCTGCTGCATAAGTGGGCTGAGATGCTTCATGCATAAATGAAGTGTTCCCAGCAGACAACTGGAAGTTTGAACCTCAATAAATTCAAGAGAAAGTGTAATTATTGTAGGAAAGTCTGTTCTTGGGCTATTACAGCGATTAAACAGACAGTGAATTGTCCTCTGTCCACAGAAGACTGGGATAGAAGTGTCTCTTTGTGTATTTCCCATATTAATTGCAAGGCTCATTTCAGTAGCTGGTATTGTAAATTATGAAAATAAAAGGACCTCTTACCGTGTTATTTTAATGTAATTAAAGTTCAGAATGACCCTGGGGCTTGTCTTTGCTAAACACGAAGAAATGTAGCACATGGGTAAACTCTGTAGTGAAATGACATCAAAACTGCCCTTTTGTGACCTTAGGGAGTATGGTAATGTAATCCCTTTCCTACTAATGCACTTCAGATGGGCTCAGAAAGTCCTTCTCCTTTCTTCAACTATGCAAGAAGAACCTGTATAAGGGGTTTAATATTTTTTTAATATACTATTAAACCTAAATTGCTTTTGCCTGGGAGAAAAGTAGGGAATTGTAACTGGCCTAAGGCTATCCCCCTGGTCACCTCCCTGTTACACATCACAGCCTCTCTGCATGTCACTGTTAAGACGGAACGACACAAAAAGGTTTTAGCAATGGTTATAGAGGTCTGGTGGGGATGGACCCCGCTGTCCCCATGCTGGGACCCTCCCTGGCCATCTGCCAAACCTGTCTTCAATCCAAACCTGGGCTGTCCTGTGATATAAATGGCTGTTTTGCACAGCCAAGTGCCTCCTCAGCATCTAAGCAAGACTGTCAAAGCATTATATCTTTTCTTTTCTGATAGCAGCATCAGAAACACACCATATATATAATGAAAGTTATTTGTGGCACATCTCCCAGGTAAAAGGCTGGGCTGGTTTGTGCAATCAGGCACAACACCAATTTCACACTGATAGGTGAGGTCGTCTGGGGGAGAGGCATGTGAGAGAGATTTAAGCGGCAAGCAAGGCACTCCACGTTAGAGGTGAAATTAAAGAACCTTTCTCAAAGGTCTTATGTTCCAAAAGTGATTGAGATAGATATAGATAGATATAGATATA